TGAAAACACTAAACCAAATGTAATATGCGTCACTAAATCCAAACTGGATCCCTCTGTAGACGATGCTATGTGAGGACTCGGGAAATGGAAATTGAGGGGGGGTAGCAATATTAACAAGGAAAGGAATTATTATAAAGGAGATAGAGATTCAACAAGATCCCATAGTAGAACTAAAGGCAATTGAGATCGAAATAAACATAGGAAATATATAATATAAATACAGTAAATATAATAATAACCACAGTATACATGCCACCTCATACTAAAAAACTTATTCAAGAAACGTTGAAGAGTCTGGGAAAAGTGCTACAACTTTCGGAAACTAATGCAAAAGAAATTCTTGTGGCAGGGGATTTTAATACCAAATTGACTGGGAAAGTTTCGGTCCCAGAACTCGGCCAAATTCGTGGAATACAAAATTACTAGCAGTCATAAATGAATTTTGTCTCTTCTAGAATGTACCAGATCATACCAGGATAAGAGGGCTAGTGAGGCCCTCTATGCTTGACCTAATATTTACAAAACATAAAGATGTCATTAATGGATATGGAGTACTGCCCTCCTCTAGGAAAAAGTGATGATTTAGCAATTAAGATGAAATGCTGTCTGCTACAGGAAAAACTCACCGTTAGTAAGGAAAGAAAAGGACAGTATAAGTACAAGAGAGGTAATAATAAAAGTCTTAAAGATTTATTTGATGGCGTAAACTGGGAAACTCTCCTAAACAAAGAGAACCTTGATATGCATTATTCTTTTGCGTCTGTAAATAAGGAGTCGAAAAAACATGTATCAGGATTCAAAACTGAAGTAAGAAATGCCCAAAAGTGTTTCAATGATAAGTGCAAGAAAATGAGAGAAAACAAACAACTACCTTAGATCTCAGGCAGCGTATGAAAGATATAAAAGTAGGAAGAAATGAGTATACCCAAACCATGAGGGAGGCGAATTTAGACTTTGAAAAGGATATGATCAATAAATGTACAAACCAACCAAACCTTTTCTTTAACTACATAAATAGTAAGACTAAAAGTAGCGATCAAATTAGCGCCATCAAAGACAATAACATCGTTTATGCTAGGGAAGAGGAAGTGTGAGAAATTATTATTATTTTATTTTATTTTATTTTTATTTTTTCTTGATTTGCGACGCAGAGCCTCACCCGGGCTATGCCTATGAAGGGAGCCCGGTTTTGAGAAATTATTCATGAAAAATTTCAGTGTTTGTTCGGGACCCATACTTTGAAATGGCAAGTAACCGTACAAATGTAAATCAAAATACCGAAAAAATCGCTCTAAAGAAAAGTAATAAAAGACCTACTGAAAGGGTTAGACAAGACTAAAGCAGAGGGACCATATGAGATATCTAACTGGGTTCTGAGGTACAATGCCGAAGAATTATGTACGACATTTTTGTTAATATTCCAAAATTCAGTGAGACAAGGAATACTACCAAAAGACTGGAAACTTGCCTATGTCATATCTTAATACAAGAACAGCGACAAACAAAACCCTCTAAATTATACACCAGTTTCGTTAACTAGTGGTTACACTAGTTAACGAAACTGGTCTCTAATTTAAAGGGTTTTGTTTGTTAATGCAAACTATTAGAAAGGATAATTAGGAAATAGTGGGTTGAAGTATTTCAAAAAACACGATATGATATAAAATCTCTCTTTCTATGATAGAGTTTCTGAGATATTACTAGAAAGTGAGGGCTGGGTGGATTGTATATACTTAGACTTTAAGAAGGCATTTGATAAGGTGTCGCAAAAAAAGACTATTATGGAAATTAGAACACCTATGTGGAGTGAAAGGCAAACCCCTCGAATGGATGGAAGACTTTCTTCACGAAAGACAGATGAGCACCGTAATTAGAGGGAAGCACTCTACATGGCGACGAGTAACTACCTCAAGGATCGATCTTGCGCCAATTATGTTTACTATTTTCATAAATGATTTAGGGTCAAACATAAGCCCAGGTAGTATCTGAATATGTTTGCAGATGACGCGAAATTGCAAAAAAGACAATAGACAATGTCTCGTGCCAATACCTCCAAAGTGACATCAAAAACTGATTAATTTGGAAAATGGAATATAACACCAATAAATGCCATGTAGTCAGGTTCGGAGAAAGTAAAAATAATCCACTATACCAATACAAGTTAGGAGACGTAATATTAAACCAAGTAGATAAAGAAAAAGACCTTGGTATAATTATAAACAGGAACCATGCCCAAATGATCATATAAATAACAGGGTCTATAAAATGCTTGGCCTGGTTGCCAACATAAAGAGGGCATTCGTGCATGTACACGAAAACATGGGGAAGAAGGCCATTACAGCCATCATAAGACCTAGTCGTGAATATGGTGCTGTGGTATGGAGTCCACACTTGAAAAAAAGGATATAGATAAACTAGAAAGAGTTCAAAGAGCAGCCACAAGATGGGCATCTACTCTAAGAGATATGAGCTACGTAGAAAGACTACAGAAAATAGAGGTCCTGCTACTTTGGAAGAAAGAAGAAAAAGAGGGGTGACATGATAATGATGTTCAACTATATGGCATAAAGGGTGAAGTTAGACAATGACGACTTTATAATCTTCCAAATAATGTTGTATGTGCCAAAATGTGCATCAGTTAAAAAAAAGTTATATGATAATTTAAACACCTATATATATTATACAGAGAGGGAGGGAGGGAGGAGGGAGGGAGAGAGAGAGAGAGAGAGAGAGAGAGAGAGAGAGAGAGAGAGAGAGAGAGAGAGAGAGAGAGAGAGAGAGAGAGAGAGAGAGAGAGAGAGAAATGGGATTTTTCTTGATAATAGTTTACCCTATAATTTTCATTTTCTGTCAATGTAGTTAAAGAAAACAAATATGTAAGGGGGGACAATGGTACTTTTGTGGTTATTTCAATGAGGCTGGGAAAATTCGTATATAAGCTATTAAACCGGTTGCATGAAGATACTTTGCAAAGATTTGCTCGTCATTGCAGGCGGCAAATTCGCTTATGAGTTCAGAGGGACTTTCTGGGAATGCTACAAAGCCCATAAGATTTTTATGCTAATCATACATATTCACACGATTTCGCTATTATTGGGATGCTCTACCTAGAACTCCGACCTAAGAGGAGCTGCCAGTCCACAGGCTTCCTAACCGTACTAGGTCAAGGAATTATCCACGTTATATGATCTGGCAAGGTAGAGCATAGGCATATATGCTATATTCATTACTAACGATGAGTTCAGGTTACCCAGGTTGTCGATAATTACCTCATTGCGATGGTTGCCACTTCTCCTACCCCCTTTATGACATATCCACCTTATATGTTCTGGCAAGGTAGATTCTAGAAAAAAATACAGCAGATTTTTCAGTCGATATGTAGAAGAGGGTAGTGGGTTCCTTTCGACACAATTTTGATATTTTCTGCATGAAATCCACTGCTTTCAACGATTCTAGGCATTGTTCCTTGTGCAAATGAATCGTTGAGGAGATAGGATCACCATCTCCAACGACAATCTTGACTTGATAGTCCCGATAGCAGGGGAAATTATGAGGTAAAACAAAACGTCCTAACCAAACATCCAACCTAACCTAATACCGTGGTATATATTCCCTAGCCAGAGGGCTCTGTCCCCTGGCCCCCGTGGTAGTATGTACGCCTATCCAGGGGGCTACGCCCCCTGGACCCCCGTAGTAATATATACGCTAGTCATTTTATTAACCATCTCTGCCAATACCTTATATATACCTTATATATTACTACGGGGGTCCAGGGGGCATAGCCCCCTGGACCCCCGTAGTAATATATACGCTAGTCAGGGGGCGCAGCCCCCTGGATAGGCGTAAATGCGTCTAATTCACCCTCGCAATGTAAACAACATGAGCGACTTTTCTTGTACGTACAGCACCCTTGGGAAGCATTGGCACACATATTGCCATAGAACTTCGTCGTGTTGGTTCTTACTGTTCTGTCTTTTCATGTAGGTTTTATTGACCATCTTTGCCAATACCTTATACTACATATTGTCTGATTTTTCTTATTATACTTTAGCGTGTACTAATTCTAGACTTTAGTGCACATCACTGAGACCAGTTCCTGAATAGAAGCCTCTATTTTTCTTATTATATGTGACTGCGCACCCGTCGCACCTGATGGCTGCTATGAAACTGATTTTACATTTCATGAAGGGTTTCCGTATATCAGGGAGGGACAGTTTAAATGGTTATTGATATCTTCAAAATGATTGGTCCCGTGAAAGATAAGCCCATACAATTTTATTAACAAATTTAGCTTAGACAAATTATTCCAACTTTAACGTAAGCCTAATCTAAAATTACCTATTCTACACTCATCTAAGCTACGCTACTAGAGCGTAAATACATACGAAGTCTATTTTTTGTAATGTCTGTTATCGACACCAGTAGTAAACGGCAGCTAATCAGGGAATAAACTTACAAGCGGTGTTGTATCATATATACGGACAATGATATGTAATAAGGTAAGAGTAAGATCACATTTAATACTTAGCAGATAAATATCGAGACTCAGATATCTTCTTCAGCATTACATAACCGCACACGTTTGATTTGATATCCCGGGATATTAACCACAAACCCCTGTGGATTATATTTTAGATATTCAGTATAATATTAAGACCATTTGAAAACACAGGGGTTTCACACAATAACTAGTGACAATCAGATGTATTCTTCAACATTACATAAGCATACTTGTTTCTTTACCAGCGCAACAAATAACCACAAAACTGTCACTTTGTGGACTATAGTTAACATATTCGATGAAATATTCGAACAGTCCATATTAAGAATGCAGCATGGTATTGCACTCCAGTACGACGTATTGATCTCTAGCGTGAATAGGGTTTTAGTCTGCAATACGTTGATCACGTGTACACAAGACACATTCCTTAGAACAGAGTGGCAGCTTGTGTAGTTGGGTGTTTCAGGGCGTGATTTGCAGATAGGGCGTTAGCTCAGTG